CCCCAAATATCTGGTAACTTGCATTCATTTCTTCAGGGGTTATTTTTCCTTTGCTGTTTGCCCCTCCCTCCCTCCCCGCCCGCCCCCGGGGGCAGAAGCGAGATGCTGCGTGTGGTCCGCTAAATAAAGGTATCGGCTGCAGATCAGGAGACCTGGGTTCTGTTCCCAGCGCTGGCCTCCGGCGTGACCTTGGGCCAGTGTCTCCCCCTCCCTGGGCCTCTGGTTCTCCTCCATCCATTGCCTGTCAATAGTTTAGTCTCTAAACTCTTCGTGGCAGGGATTGGTTTAGTATTGGGAGACCCAGTCATGCCGGGCACTGAACAGACCCCCACTGAAGATAAGGGACCCATACTCTGCTGGGCGCTAAAGACTTATAGGGAGATATAGTCCATGCCCCAAAGACCCTGCAACTGTAACCCCCCCACCTCCTGGGTGTGGTCCCTTGTCCCCTGTAGCAGCACCGAGACCACTTAGTGAGAAAGTGTTTACAGCCTTAGCTAACAGCCAGTTGGCTTTTGGCTCATGCACTAAGCTCCAGAGGTCCCAGGTTCAATCCCGCCCGCCGACACCCGGTGTCTGTCGGCGTTACACAATCTCTGTAGCTATAGTGGGGATCATTCTCCCAGTTTCAGAGACTGGGAAACTGAGGCAGAGAGTGATGCCATGATTTGCCCAAGGTCACACAGAAAGGCTGTGGCAGGGCTGGGAATCGACTCCAGTTTTGCAGGATCCCATCATGGTGCCGTAACTCATTATGAAGCCGCCCTCACCAACAGGGAGCTGCTGCTTTGTAGCATGAGTAGCGTGGCTAATACAGGCCATATCCAACCTGGGTATCCTCAGTGTGCTCTAGATCTGGGCTGCAAGTGACTTGTTGAAGGACACACAGTGAGTCTGTGTCACAGTAAAGGAGAGGGGGGAGATGTGATCGGGACCGCAGAGCCAAAGGGAAGGCTGTGGGGGGCCTAGGCGGGGCTCACAGGGGCAGAGCTGAGGAGGGGCAGGTTGTTGTGTCCGGTCCAGTTCAAGGAAAGGAGCTGCGGGCTCACACTGATCACCTCCTTTCCTCCCCTTCATGCAGGTGTATCTGCCACAAAGACCGTCGTAAAGGGCTGTGGTACTGAGTACATCTGTGCCCAGGTGAATGCGGGTTCTGGGTCCTTTGCAGGGATCCATAGAAATGTAACCACGGCCAGATGCACACCAGCCCCCATCACGACCAACACAGCTCCGGACCAGCCGGGCTGCTCTTCCCAGCCCTCGCTGGGCTCCTCCTGCTGAAGTTTCTCTCCTGATTCCCTACCCAGTGCAATGGCCACGCTGCACTCAGTAACACCCCGGCTGCCTTTGTCTGCCCCTCTCGGCAGCCGCTCTCCCCACCCAGGGGCCCTGGGCTCCCGGCCGGATTCGCTTCCCCTTTATATTGTTCCGCTTAATAAAAAGAAACTGGAGACCAAAGTCTTTAGAAATTTGTTGTGGGGAAATTTCAATTCTCGTGGGCGGGGCTGCCAAAAAGCTAATTAGTCAGTGACCCCTAGTGGTGAAATGAGGCAGCACAGGCCAGGAGCTACAACCCCCAGCGGGACCCCAGGGTCTGGCTGGATCCAGCATCTGCAGTAAAGAACCTTCCTTTATAGTCATCACAGCCAAGTCCTGCCCCTACTGACCCCGGCAGTGCCCCCTACAGCAGGTCCCCCCAAATTGCAGGCCACTTGGGAAACTGTTGGCCAAAGCTGCAAGGGAGATTGTGTGGCCCAGCTGGGAACAGAGCCTGGTCTCAAAAGCTTTGACCCAACACGCAAGCACATGCTTAAATGTAAGCACATGAGCCTGTGGGGCTAAGTCAGGTGCTTAAAATTAAGCACCATGCTTCAGCACCTCGCTGAACCGGAGCCTGTGGTAGCAGGGCACAGAAGGGCACAACGGCTATATAAGGCTCAACCAGTTTGGTAGAGATGACCTAGGTTGCCCACATTCTCCACCACTGTCACCTGCACAATCTAGGGCACCCCACCTATACCCTACCGAGGGCTCAAGGCGTGACCTGGTCAATTTAGGCACCCCCACCCTTTTCCTACCGACGGCTTGGGCTGTAAGGCACCTACCCTTACCCACAGGGCTCAGGAAGAAACCTGGTCAATTTAAGTACCTGACTTTCCCTCGGGGCTTTACGGGTCTGTGGATCCTTTTCCCAGTGAAAAAGCCTTACACAGCTGTGCTCTAAACATCGATTTACTAGGAACACACAGAGAACACACATACCAAGCAAATCTCTTGGGCTCGCCACTCCCAATATACAGACAAGATTCACCTGGCGGCCAGTCAGGATCCTCTCATGCTATGTGTCCCGGAGTCCCCGGGCGATGCTCTGGACCTGCTCCCCATGAAGCCAGGCAGGACTCTGGGGCAGTCTCCTCCCTGGGAGCAGCCTGTCTTCAGGACACACAGCTCCCCCGGCTCCACCTTCCTGGGTCTGACCTCGGAGCATTCAGCATCCTCTGCCCCTCCATGCGCTTCTCACAGCGAGTCCGCTCAGGCGGGGTCCTGGGAAAGCCAGAGGGTCCTGCCCCCCAACTCTGCAGTCAGACGTGACTCTCAGCCAGCCAGTAAAACAGAGGTTTATTAGACGACAGGAACATGGAGAGCAAGTTAAAGAAGTACGGGCTGGATGAATGCACTATAAGGTGGGTAGAAAGCTGGCTAGATTGTCGGGCTCAACGGGTAGTGATCAATGGCTCCATGTCTAGTTGGCAGCCGGTGTCAAGTGGAGTGCCCCAGGGGTTGGTCCAGGGGCCGGTTTTGTTCAATATCTTCATAAATGATCTGGAGGATGGTGTGGATTGCACTCTCAGCAAATTTGCGGATGATACTAAACTGGGAGGAGTGGTAGATACGCTGGAGGGCAGGGATAGGCTACAGAGGGACCTAGACAAATTGGAGGATTGGGCCAAAAGAAATCTGATGAGGTTCAATAAGGATAAGTGCAGGTTCCTGCACTTAGGACGGAAGAACCCAATGCACAGCTACAGACTAGGGACCGAATGGCTCGGCAGCAGTTCTGCAGAAAAGGACCTAGGGGTGACAGTGGACGAGAAGCTGGATATGAGTCAGCAGTGTGCCCTTGTTGCCAAGAAGGCCAATGGCATTTTGGGATGTATAAGTAGGGGCATAGCGAGCAGATCGAGGGACGTGATCGTCCCCCTCTATTCGACGTTGGTGAGGCCTCATCTGGAGTACTGTGTCCAGTTTTGGGCCTCACACTACAGGAAGGATGTGGATGGATTGGAAAGAGTCCAGCGAAGGGCAACAAAAATGATTAGGGGTCTGGAACACATGAGTTATGAGGAGAGGCTGAGGGAGCTGGGATTGTTTAGTCTGCAGAAGAGAAGAATGAGGGGGGATTTGATAGCTGCTTTCAACTACCTGAGAGGTGGTTCCAGAGAGGATGGTTCTAGACTATTCTCAGTGGTGGAAGAGGACAGGACAAGGAGTAATGGTCTCAAGTTGCAGTGGGGGAGGTTTAGGTTGGATATTAGGAAAAACTTTTTCACTAGGAGGGTGGTGAAACACTGGAATGCGTTGCCTAGGGAGGTGGTGGAATCTCCTTCCTTAGAAGTTTTTAAGGTCAGGCTTGACAAAGCCCTGGCTGGGATGATTTAATTGGGGAATTGATCCTGCTTTTGAGCAGGGGGTTGGACTAGATGACCTCCTGAGGTCCCTTCCAACCCTGATATTCTATGATCTAAAACAGAGCTTGTAGGTGCAGAGAAAAGGACCCCTCAGCTAGGTCCATTTTGGGGGGCAGTGAGCTAGACAACCACGTCTGCCCTTCACTCCATGTCCCAGCCAGCCCCGAACTGAAACTCCCTCTAGCCCCCACTCCTCTGGGCTTTGTCCCTTTCCTGGGCCAGGAGGTCACCTGATTCCTTTGTTCTCCAACCCTTTAGCTCTCACCTTGCAAGGGGAAGGGCCCAGGCCATCAGTGGCCAGGAAACAGGGTGTCGGCCATTGTCTGTGTCCAGACCCCTGCACACACCTGCCCTCTAGGGCTCTGCAATGATCATACACCCTTATCCCACCACCTAGTTCCTTAAGAACTGCCTAGGGGAAACTGAGGCACCCCCACACTATTCAGAGGAAACATTAAGAACACTCCTGCTTTGTCACACTATGCCACTTCGTTGTGACCTTCTCTGCTTATGCAGATGGTCAGCATAAAGACTCTGGCTGGAGTTTATCTGTATCCTCCCTAATTTCCCAGCCCCTGGGCGTCTTTACTTTACAACCTTGGTGGTTAACACTTTCGTTAGGGACACCCTTGGGGGGGCGGGGCTTTATCAGGACCAGAACATTCTTTTTTTCAAATTTTAGTGGTGAACTCCCTGAGTTTCCCCCCCCCCACAAGGCTGGTTTAATATTGGAGGGGGGGGGGGGGGAGATAAGGTCTCAGGCCTACACAGGGGCAGCCTAGCAGGGAGGGAGTGCTGAGCCCAGCAGAGGCGTTCCCCGGCCAACAGGGGTGCATGAGCTCAGCCCACCCCCACAGATGAGTCTGGGGAAGGGGCTGCATTCCCTGCCTGGCACAGAGGGGACCTGGGACAGAAAAGCTGGGGGCAGGTTACTGCCTGGCCTGGAGCTAGAAGGGGGCTGAGCTGTGGGCAGCAGCTCCAGAGGGAGGGTTTAGAGTTGCAATCACAGGCCCCACAGAGCAGCACCCCCGGCACCGTGAGTCAGGGAGCGGCTGCCTGAGGCTGGGGAGCTCCCGCCCGGTCTCCTCCCCATGGCCTCGCTCCCGGTGCTGATGCTCCTGACTGCCCTGCCGCAGCCCCTGGATTGCTACGGCCGCTTGGCTGAGCCTGCGGGCGGCTCCTTGTGCCCCATGTCGGGCACAGGACTAACTGCACCATTCACCTGATGCACGGCGGCCACGCTTCCGTTCTTACCCGGCTTCTTGACGGCCCCGCTCGTGAGAATTAAACAGAGAAACAACAAATCCAGAGTTTGCTCTCCAGTGTGTTTTATTCAGTGCAACAATATCCAGGGGAAGTGAGTCCAGCTGGGAAGCCCTGGCGGGGAGAGGGGCTAACGCAGGCTCCAGGGTGGATTTCAGTGCAGTGCGGCTGTTGCACCGGGTGGGAATCAGGAGAGAAGCGTCAGCAGGAGGAGCCCAGCGAGGGCTGAGAGGAGGAGCCCGGCTGGTCCCGGAGCCGCGCCCACCACGGAGACCGTTGTGCATTTGGCCATGGTTAGATTTGCACGGATCCCTGCGACGGTCCCCGAACCCACTTGTAGGTGGTCGCAGATGGACTGGGAAACGCAGCCCTTCATCACCATCCGCACTGGGTTTCCACCTGCTGGGAGGGGGGACATGGGGGGGGAGGGAAGCAAGCGATTGTGGTCAGGGGAGCAGCTCCACTCCTCAAGCTGGACTAGGACAATGGCCTCCCCCCAGGGCCCTGCCAAGCTCCCCCACAGCCTCCATCTCCCTGTCTGCTCTGCTCCCCCCAGCCTGTCTGAGCCTGGATGGCCTCCCGCTTCTCCTCTGCTCTGCGGCAGACACACCGTGTCCTGGAGCATGTCACTTAGAGCCGATCAAAGGCATTCATAATGGATCAGGCCTGTATTAGCCACACCACTCATCTACAAAGCAGCAGCTCAGTGCTGGTGGCAGGGCTGGGATCTCTAAGCAGGGTGGCTTTGCAGTGAGTTATGGCACCACACTGGGACTCCACAAAACTAGGTTCAATTCCCTGCCACAGCCTTCCTATGTGACATTGGGCCTTGACATTGGGCAAGTCACGGCACGACTCTATGCCTCAGTTTCCCCCATCTTTAAAATGGGGAGAACGATCCTTTGTCCGTTCAGATTGCCGGTTCTTTGGCAGCAGGGACTGTTTCTTACAAGGAGTCTTTGGCATCTGGCAGAAGAGAGGACTCCGATCTCAGGGGTCAGTCCAGTACCTGGCACATCAGGGCATCCCAGGACTAAGCCAGGCCCTACCATGAAAAGCTTAGAGACTAACCTATAGACAGGCAATGGATGGAGGAGAACCAGAGGCACAGGGAGGGGAAGACACTGGCCCAAGATCACACCGGGGACCAGCACTGGGAACAGAACCCAGGTGTCCTGATCTGCAGCCGATCCTTTCACCTAGCGCAGCGGTTCTCAAACTTCATTGCTCCGCGACCCCCTTCTGAAAACAAAAGTTCCTACACAACCCCAGGAAGGGGAACTAAAGCTTGAGCCCGCCCGAGCCCCAATGCCCTGGGGGGGAAGGCGCGGAGGGGGGCAGAGCCGAAGCCCAAGTGCTTCATCCCCAGCACAGGGGAGGAGGGGCCGTAAACTGAGCCCCACCACCCAGGCGGTGGCCCCATTAAAACAGGGTCACGACAGTTTGCGAACCCCTGGCCTTGTGGGACTGACACAGCGTCTCGCTTCTGCCCTATGGGGAGCGGGGGGGGGGGAGCCAAAAGAAAAATAACCCCAGAATAAATGAACGGAAGTTACCAGATGTTATGGTCCCAGCAGTGTCAAGACACTGGGTCTCGGATCCAGTGCACTGTATGGTCTCTTCACGGCATTGCTCAGAGGTCAGAGAGTAGCAGCCCCGGCAGCTCCGGCCATTGGGTTTGGGGTCGGCCGGGGGCACTGGGAAGAAGCGGAGCAAACGCAGTCAGCTCGGGGGACGAGCCCCAGGACGGGGCGGGGCCGGGAGAGCAGCTGGGGGCTGCACAGCTCAGCCCCGGGGGCCCCCTCCAGGGGGCGCTGTAGCTCCGGGGACCCCGGGGGCAGGGGAGGGGTTTGCAGCAGGGAGCCCTGGACCCCGCCCCAGGTGGGGCCAGCTGGGTTCACAGCTGGGGGCAGCCTAGAGCCCCGCCCACCAAACTCCGCCCAGCCGGGGGCTCAGGGTTATTCCATGGGGCGCCCCCTGCAGGGCGGGAGCACCAGGCCCGGGAAGATAACGTGGGGCAGGAGAGATGGGGCTGGGGAGAGGTACCTATAACAATGGTTGCTTTGCAGGTGTCTCCCATGCAGCAGGCGATGCTCGTCCTTGTTGTCATTCCCTTCCCAAAATTCATCGAGACATGGCCGGCTTTACATTGGCTGGACGTCACACAGTGCTTGTGAATGCTCTGGGTGTTCACTCCCGCTGCACAGGAGGAGAAGACAGATTTATTCCCCTTCCACTCCCACCCCACTGACGCCCATTTCACAACGATGCCCAGGTGCCATTAGCCTTCCTCTACCCATGGGGAAACTGAGGTCCCGCAGGGCTAGAGAAAGCCATTTCAGCACCTAAATCCAAAATTTAGATCCTCCTGCTCCCCACTCACGTGCCGCATAACCCTGGGGGCCCCAAATCTTCTGCCCATTAAGTCCTTGTTACCAAAGTTCCCACCAGTGGGTACGTGCCAGGCTGCCAAGATCCTGACACTGGGCATTCAGCTCACCCCTTAGCCACGGTGGGATTTCCAAACTAGGCGTTCCCCGCCGATATCACCTGCGGGGCCTGATCCAGGAGACGCCCTCAGAGCATGCCCACTGGATCAGGCCCTGCACAAAGCCCAGCCGAGGAGGAGATGGGGGCGGGGTGGCCCCCAGACACTCAGGAGCCCAGTGGGTCGGACGCTGCCTGTGGACGTGGGTGATCAGGTCCCAGGGCATGTTTAACTATTTCATACAGTAGGGGACGGCTTCAAGAGGGGAAACAGAGACACGCACCCCGGAGGCCAGGGAGCCAGGCACGACCGTAGGGGGGGAGGGATCTGGGCTGAAGTCCCAGCCCCAGAGGAGGGACTAGAACCCAGGCGTCCTGGCTCCCCAGCCTGTTCGCTGACCCAGGTTGGTTAAGGTCCCTCTCACCTACCCAATGTGGTTACTGTCCGAGCGATGGCGCAAGACTCCTGCCCAGCTGGGCAAGTCTGCATGGCGCCCATGCAGCTGGTTCCTTGGCCTGCACAAACCTCACACTGCAGGCAGGACCCTGGGGGAAGGAGAGAGAACATGACGCGTCTAGATTTGTCCCTTCCCTTGAATTTAACTGACCCCAGCTGGGATCTGGCCCCATCGATACCAACGGAGCTACGGCCATGGGAATCCTGCAGAAATGCCTTTTATATCGTCTTGAGCTCATGTTACTGGAATTCAGATCTGCCTTCCAGAGCAGAGACAATCCCCTGCCAAGAAAGCCCTTGGCCTCTGGCCAGCTCTGAAATGTGCCAAGTATAAATATTTCCTCCCATTGTTTCACTCGCCGTCACGGGGACTTTCTGACTTCCAGCCCTCTCCTCCTCGGACGTTGTCACTCAGACGCCCCCAGCTCAGCCGCCGTTATTCTGTGGCTGCTTTTCGGTTACGTTCAGTAACAGTTTCACCCGACAGGTGGCTCTGAGCTGTTGGCACGTTGGAGAAGTTAGGAAATCAGCCCCTGTAGGAACAGACCCCACTCACCCGTCGCCAGGAGAGCAGCGAGGATGCAGACGGCAAGAGAAGCTTCCATGGTGATGGGGAAGCAGGAGATCGGCGCTGGGGTCTGTGATGCAGCCAAATCTCCAGCCAGGGGATTGATCACAGAGGGGCTGAAATGAGATCATGCATGAGCCGGTCGACAGGGTGGGTGGAATCACAGAGCCGTTTGCCACAGCTCTGGAGTAACCGCACCTCTAACCCGCTTTGTGGCTGGTACATTCGCAGCACCCACCCGGAACAGTCAGAGACAAACTCAAATACTCCTGCTGGAAGATTGTAGCATAAGGTGACTGTTTCTGGGGATCCAGAACAATCGTACGCAGCAACCACATACAAGAGAGAGACAAAGCAGGCTGCTCCCTACCACAGGGTGAGAGAGAACTCTGCCCACCTTGTTTCTTCCAGATTGCTTCTGGTCCCATGCTTCCCCCTGGAGCCTCCAAGACTGTCAGCAGGGCAAGGAAACTCCACTCCCCGCCCACACTTTTAAAGCGATAGCTTTCCATTGGTCCTCGACACACAATGTCCAAATCCCCGTAAAGCAGCTCTCAGCCACACCTGAGTTTTGACAGCAGAGGGACCCCTTATCCCTCCTCCAGAGCCAAATTCCTTTGTGCGTCAGGACCCGCCTCTCATGTGTGCCCCTTTTCTCTGGCCGATAGGGCCTGCAAACACAGTTCTTCCTGGGGGGGGGGAAGCACCCACCTCTCATGGCTGGCTCCCTTGCTCTCGGTTAGGTGTGACCTGCTTTTCTTTTTTGGTCTTACATTAGGGTGGCATCTACCTTTCACGATCACCCCCCTGCCGCTGGTTCTCTTGGCTGGTCTTCGGCCGCTCAGCCCTCCGGCTGAGCCGCACACGCTGTCCCCCATTCCGGGGTATACAGTCCCGAGTTCTTATCACGGCCCTGGTATGGGGCTGTAGCTCAGAGGCTTCTCCCCCAAAGCACTGCCTTCTTCAACCACCCAGCTGGGGCCTGTCTCGGCACCCGCAGCGGGTGTCCTTTTCAGCACCCCTCCCCAGGCTCAGTCTGCAACCAGACCCGCAGGGCCCATCTCGGTACCCTCGCCTGGTCCAGCCAGGTCCTGGGCTCAGCCCCCGGGGCTCGGTCTGCCCGCACTGACATTTTCATGGTCCTGCTGCTGCTCTACCCAGCCAGCCAGCCAGCCAGGCGCCCGGTCTTTGGCAGCCTTCGCTGGGCCTGCCCGGTGAGCTCTCTGCGGTGAGCTGCCCGTGGCTTGTCACTTGTCTAGCCAGCCAGGCTCCCAATCCTCCCTCATCACACTCCAGGCAGGAACTGACCTTCTCTGCGCTGCTACTTGTCTTATATAGGGCCCTTCTGGCCCCGGATTGGCTGCTCCATCAGCCCCTCTGATTGGCTGCTCCTCTGCAGCCACTCTAGGCTGCCTGGAGGACTTCTCTCTGTTCTACTCTGGGGTAGGGTGAGGCAGGGCCATGAGGCCTCCAGCAGGGGGCCTCCAGACCTCGTCCGCCCTGCCGCAGCCCCCCTCTGGACGGCCTCCCCTCCCCCTGGGGAATCTGGGGTGATGCTGTGGGGGCCTCCAGGGGGAGGGGAAAACTACTGACCCCTCCCCCCAAGGAGATGGGGTTTTGTTCCCCGCACCACCCGGCAGTGGTGCCTCGGGGTCACTCGTCACAGACCATCAGGCAGACGGGGGGGAGACATCCCCCCTCCTTCCTGGCGGCAGCTGCCTCTGCCCCCCACCTCTGTGCACTGCGCTTGGGCACTTCCCACCCTTGGAGGGTGTCACGGCATTGCCAGTGCTCTGCAGCTGCCTCAGTTTCCCCCATGTGGCTGGGCACTCCGCCGCCCTCATGCTTCGTTCTGCCCCAGGCTCCCTGGCAAGGGCCGGGGGTGTGTGTGTGTGAGGGGGTGTGGTGGGGGCTAAAGGCAGGTGGCCCACAGGAGGGAGTTTAGGACCGGCAAACCCCGAGGAGTGGGGAGAGTTAGGAGGTAGGAGAAGGCTTCGGGGGAAAGCAGCAGCGAATGGCATAGTGCCAAATTTGGCTGCTGGCTACACGGTCCCTGAGCCGGGAGCTGGATTAGAGGGTGGGCCCGGGCCCCCCTCCCGGCTGCTGATGCTGAGTGCATTGGTCAAGAGGGAATTGGATACCCTGGAAGGGGCGGGGGGACACGCACAGTGACCCGGCTGGAGGGCTGAGTCGTGAAGAGGAGGCTGCTGGAGAGAGAGACGCTGGAGGAGAACCCGGCGCCTGGCGGAGCTAATCCCCGGGACGGCCAGCAGGAGGCGCCACTCGCGGGGACTGAACCCCGTGACGGGGGGACAGAGCAGATCTCCCTGGTTGAAGGAGTCCAAGAATTGACCCGGGAGTAAATTTACCCCGTGTGGCAGCGGGCGGCTCTCTCACCCCACCCCACCCCTCAGGTTTAGGCAGCTGTTTGCACTTACTGGTGCTTCCCCTTTGAGACAACCCCACCACACCCATCAGATGCCGGGATCGCATGCCGGCTCTTGCCGTCAGTACAATGTGTGTGGTGGAGGAGTGGGGCTGGGAGCCAGGAGTCCTGGGTTCTAGCCCCAGCTCTGGAAAGGGAGTGGAGGCTAGTGGATAGAGTGGGGAGGGGAGGCTGGGAGCCTGGACTCCTGTGTTCTCTCCCTGGGTATGGGAGGAAGTGGGGTCTAGTGCGATAGAGGAGGGCAGGGCTCCAAGCCAGGACTCCTGGGTTGTCTCCCTGGCTCTGGGAGGGGAGTGGGGTCTAGTGGTTAGTGGTGGGAGGGCTGGGAGGCAGGACTCCTTGGTTCTATCCAAGTGGAGAGTGGGGGCTAGTGGATAGAGTGGGGAGGGGAAGCTGGGAGCCAGGGCAACTGGGTCCTATCACTGGCTACAACAGGGGAGTGATGTCCAGTGGTTAGAGCACCAACAGACCAGAGGGGTATCACTTACCAAAAGTTCCTTGGAGTAAAGTGGGTCTCGGGTGACGTCGGTGGCTAATTCTTTAGAGCAGAAAAGCTGTACCCGTCTCTCGCTCTGTCCTGTCTCTGTCTCTCTCTTTTTATAGAAAGGCTCAGTTATGTGCTGTGATGCAATATGAGAACTTAGATTCGCACGCTTCTGCTGGGAGAGTCTATTAGATTCTATTCCCCTCGCTGGCCCTGCCCATCCTTTGGGCGTCTGAGCACACTGTCAAATTCTCCTCCCTTCCTGCTGGAAAATCGAGTTAGAGGGATGAGTGAAACCAACTCCCCTTGGAAGGCTTGGGATGGCAACATAGGGTAGCCGGTCACACCAGGGACAGGGTGGCAGGACTTCTGGAAGACACTCAGACACTACAGTGATAGACGTGGTATAAAAACCTATATAGACTAGAATAAGGCCTTTTGCACAAATTGTAACATCTGGCATACACCTCTCAACTTAACCATTCGGCTTTACCTTAGCCAAAGGAGAAGAGATCTACTGGAATAAGAATTACAAAATGCTGTATAGAAGATTTATGATTCCAATCCTTTCACAATAGTGTTCGCTTGTCTTGAAAAGTCTCCTGAAATAAATTGAACAGCGTGCAAAAACCAACCAACCAAAATGCTCAACCAAACACTTCGCCAAATGCAGTTTAGGCCCATTCTCGGCTCAGTATTTGTAAATTGTGAGGAAAATTTTAGATTACAGGGTAAAACCCCCCCATTTACAATTTTTTTTTTTTACAATTACAAAAATAAAATTTGAAAAGAGCAGTCAGATTCCTAATTGCGGGCAGGGCCAAGATAACGGCACCATCTGACACCTCCACCAGCACCTACTTGGTTCCTTGACTTTTGGGCTACTGTCTTCAAAACCCATGTCTGACAAACCTCCTCTCGTTTCCTGACCTTTTTAGATGGTTCCTAAAACTGCATCTTCTCCAGTGACTTCTGCTAAACATGAGGTTTCTAATCGAAGGTCTCATGCAATAAAAAATAACACAAAAAGAAGCTTTACAAAAATTATTTATCCTAAACCATCCAATAATAAATGCAAGAACAGATTGCAATGATCAGAGGAGTGAGGGAGATCGAAAGATACACAAACACATCCCAAAAGCATGCAAAGAGGCAAATGAAAAATGGTCAGAACAAAGAAGCCTTGAAATCAAAGAATATTAGACACAACCACAAAGAGATTAATTGAACCACAAAAAGAACCATGAGACAAAGAGAGAAGTTAAGAAAAGGAACAAACTCTATCAAAACTAATAAGTCAGAGGATGCCACAAAGCTAACAGCATCCTAGGAAGATGGATAGAATACGTGAAGGAATGTTTGATGATCCTGAAAAACTGGAAGATAGAGGCATTGAAATTGGAGAAGAAAAAACACCGGCTATTACAATGTGGAAACTAGAAAGAGCGCTAAAAAGTATAAAGCAAGGGAAAGTAGCTGGGGAGGAATGGATCGTGGTTGAAATGCTACAATCCCTGAAGGACAATTCAGAAACTTGCCTGCCAGAACTTCTCAATCAAATATACATATCAGGAGAACTTCTGGAGGACTCCAAGAGGTCAATCTGTATTCCTCTACCGAAGGTTGATAATGCTAGAGACTATGAAGAACATCAAACTATAAACCCAAGAAGCCGCACACTCACAGATCTGTGGAAAGTTGTTGGCACATGGACACATCTTGAGACAAGAATTAGCAGAAGCCAGCAGGGTATTGCCGAGGAGTGGCTTTAGAGAGAGGCAATTTTTGCCCTGAGGATCTTATGGTAGCGTGGGAAAGAAGTATTTTGTAGAGTATGGGAAGGGATTTCATAAGCTCCAACACAACAAGTTGATACATATTCTTGAAGAATATAGGATTGACTTCCAAGATCTGTAATTAATAACAAGCTCGTTCTGGGGACAGAAAGCAGCAATCCGAACGAAGTGTGAACTGCGTACTGCAGCATCAAAGAGGTGAACCCCATGGTTGCATTGTATCATTGAAACTATATAGCATATAGGTAGAAGTTAGAATGAGGGAATGTTTAGAAGACACCGACCACGGCGTGCAGGTCAATAGCGCAGACATCAACAATGTAAGACACGCCAAGGAACCAGTTCAGAGCACTGCTTCCTTTTGAGAGCAAAGACAGCAAGAAATATGGAATGAGGATTAACGATATGATGATCTCTATGATGAGATAACTGGCTCTGTGGATATGAGGAAAGCAGTGGACGTGATATAAATTGACTTTAGCAAAGCTTTTGATATTGTCTCCCACAGTATTCTTGCCAGCAAATTAAAAAAGTGTGGATTGGATGAATGGACTATAAGGTGGTGTGACAGGGTCAGGCCAGATGGCTACAGGAGAGCAACAGAAGGCAGATATATTAGCCCCTGGTTAAGTGGGTCCCTTTGCCCTGGGTAAGGTAACAGGGAAGGTTTCAGAACAATCAGGAACCTTCTGGAGACAATTAAGACAGACAGGCTGATTAGAACACATGCAGCCAATCAAGAAGCTGCTAGACTCAATTAAGGCAGGCAATCAGGGCACCTGGGTTTAAAAAGGAGCTCACTTCAGTTTGTGGGGTGCGTGTGAGGAGCTGGGAGCAAGAGGCGCTAGGAGCTGAGAGTGAGAACGCCGGCTGTTGGAGGACTGAGGAGTGCAAGCGTTATCAGACACCAGGAGGAAGGTCCTGTGTTGAGGATAAAGAAGGTGTCGGGAAGAGGCCATGGGGAAGTAGCCCAGGGAGTTGTAGCTGTCACACAGCTGTTCCAGGAGGCACTCGACAGCTGCATTCCACAGGGCCCTGGGCTGGAACAGGAGTAGAGGGCGGGCCCCAAACCTCCCAACTCCTGGTCAGACACAGGAGGAGTTGATCTGGACTGTGGGTTCTCAAAAATGGCCAAACTGAGAGCTGCCGTGAAGCTCCTATGTGGGCAAATCCGCCAATAAGCGCAAGACCCACCAAGGTAGAGGAGGAACTTTGTCACAGTGGATAGAAAGCTGGCTAGATTGTCGGACTCAACGGGTAGTGATCAACGTCTCGATGTTCATTTGGCACCTGGTATCAAGCGGAGTGCCCCGGGGTCAGTCCTGGGGCCGGTTTTGTTCAATATCTTTATTAATGATCTGGATGATGGGATGGATTGCACCCTCAGCAAGATCACAGATGACACTAAACTGGGAGGAGAGGTAGATACGCTGGAGGGGAGGGATAGGATACAGAGGGCCCTAGACAAATTGGAGGATTGGGCCAAAAGAAATCTGATGAGGTTCACCAAGGACAAGTGCAGAGTCCTGCACTTAGGAAAGAAGAATCCCATGCACCGCTACAGACTAGGGACCGAATGGCTCGGCAGCAGTTCTGCAGAAAAGGACCTAGGGTTACGGTTGACGAGAAGCTGGATATGAGTCAACAGTGTGACCTTGTTGTCAAGAAGGCCAATGGCATTTTGGGATGTCTAAGTAGGGGCATTGCCAGCAGATCGAGGGAAGTGATTATTCCCCTCTATTCGGCATTGGTGAGGCCACATCTGGAGTATTGTGTCCAGTTTTGGGCCCCCCACTACAGAAGGGATGTGGACAAATTGGAAAGCGTCCATCAGAGGGCAACAAAAATGATTAGGGGGCTGGAGCACATGACTTATGAGGAGAGGCTGAGGATTGTTTAGTCTGCAGAAGAGAAGAGTGAGGGGGGATTTGATAGCAGCCTTCAACTACCTGAGGGGGGTTCCAAAGAGGATGGAGCTCAGCTGTTCTCAGTGGTGGCAGATGACAGAACAAGGAGTAATGGTCTTAAGTTGCAGTGGGGGAGGTCTAGGTTGGATATTAGGAAACACTATTTCACTAGGAGGGTGGTGAAGCCCTGGAATGCGTTACCTAGGGAGGTGGTGGAATCTCCATCCTTAGAGATTTTTAAAGCCCAGCTTGACAAAGCCCTGGCTGGGATGATTTAATTAGGGTTGGTTCTGCTTTGAGCAGGGGGTTGGACTAGATGACCTTCTGAGGTCCCTTCCAAGCCTAATATTCTATGATTCTATGATAGGAAGACAAAAAGTATGGTAATACATAAAATGCACATGGAAGGCAACACCTTTGTCTTGATGCTCAAGTGGTGAAACAAATGAATAGTTTCCCCTCTTTAGGGAACCTAATAACATCCAACTGAAGAGGGGAGGAAGCAATCAGGAGAAGGACACAGTTTGCAAAAACTGCATCCAACAACTTCCCACGACTTCTGTGTCGTCGGAAGTTAAAAGGGCCACATCTGCTGCAGTGCTGCGTGTGTTTGGCCCCCCTGTCCAGATGTCCTTAGAAAGAACACCGAGAGGCGACTCCAGCGTTTGAGCTTTGGCATTACAGGAGAAGGATAAAAATTCGCTGGATCACCAAAACTACGACCGACGGGGTGACGAGAAGGATGAATTCTACAACAGCACAATCAGTTGAGACGCTTGGTGAGAGAATAACAGCTTTCTGTTCACACGTGGCTTGGTCTTCGCAGAGCAACTCCATTCAAGGACACACACGGTCCGGCAGGACGGCAGGCAAACCAGAAAGAGGGGGAAGGAGAGCCAGGTCGGAACCATCACCCGATGGGCTGGTCTCCAAAGTAGAGGGGAAGTTTTACACCTCTGTCCCGACAGTGGAAAAGACCACACCATGCTGGCGGGCTGCTGAGTTGGCTTTATCCCTGACTCCAAGTGACCCTGTGTCTGTTCTACCACCCCCCCCCAAAAAAAAAAAAAAAGAAATGATTCCTCAAACAATGCTCAGCAAAAGCGCCTCCGGTCCTCATCAGAAAACTCCAAGGCAGGTTCACACCCACGTCCGTCTTAGCTTGCGATTCACTCCTCGTTGGGCCGGGAGCTCATCCCCCGCCATGTTCTGCCCTGCCCCGGGTTCCCTGCTAAGGGTGGGGCAGAGAGATGAGCTCCCGGGTCACGGCCGAAGACATCCAAGAACATCCACTGGAACCAGGGAGAGTCACGTCTCCAGTGCGGGAGCAGGGGGCTTTGCAATTCCAGCCCGGTCCAACGTTAACCGCGCCTGGCCTTTGACCAGCCGCTCGGGCGGGAAAGGGGGAACTGCATCAGCAAACGCCCCTCATCTCGCTGCTCTGCAGCAGCGTTGGCTGGAGGACCCCTGGGTTCATTTGGAGACGCCGGCATGGGTGTTCTCGGAGCCGCTGGCGTCTGTCCCACCCTGTTCCCAGGAAAGGCGTTTCCCCGCCCCACCCCAGCGGTGGG